CCTGGAGCCCCTGGGGCTGTTGGGGGGGGGGAGAGCCCTGTGGCCCTCCCTCCCCTCCCACTTGCTGGTTCCCAGCTCTGCGCCTAGATGTCTGCCTTGGGAGTGCCCTGGGGAGAGAGGGGGCATCCCCAGATTTACCCAGCCCCCCAGGAAATCCAGCTCCTTTCCCCAGCTGCTCTGCTGGGATTGTGTGTTAACGCCCCAGTTTCCCAGCTCTGGGGCTGGTGCTTGGGGGATGGAGGAGAGGGTGGGTGTTTTGGGGGGACCTGGGACTGAAGTAACACTCGGGGGTGTTTGTAGGGGGAGGGGATGTGATCTGGGCTGGTTCACGGCAAAAGTGCCCCCTCCTGTGTCCTATAATTTTGGCTGATCTCTGGGGGGCCAGACTTGGGAAGGGAGGGAAGTTGCAGGGTTCTGGGCAATGTGTATTGTTGTGTGTGTGATTTTGCATGCCCATCCATGTGTCATATCACCTGTAGTGCATAGCGGAGGAAGATTCTCCTCCAGCTTAGGGAGCTGGGATCTATTGCTGCTCCCACTCAGAAGTTTACTGCTGACTAGGTGTTGAACTGAGGCATAGAATCCAGGAGTCCTGCCCCCAGCCTCTCCTACCCCCTACACCCAGACTGGCTTTGTGCCTGGCCTTGCCCTGATCCCATGCACCAGCGCCTGTGTGGGACAGCAGGGGGCACTGATGTGGGCAGCCCACAGGCTGTGGGTTCAAGTCCTGCTCCCAAAGAAGCAGCATGTCCCCCTTCCCCCTCTGCGTCTCTTCTTCCTCCCCCAGGGCTGGCCGGAGGGGGGTGCAGGACGGGTTCGGAGCTGGGCTGCCCCACGGCCCATCCGTCTCAGGTAGGTCCCTGGCCCGTCTGCAGGGAGGGCCATGTGGGGTCATTCTCAGGGAACCTCAGCCTCTCCCCAAATGGCTCCCACTGCCAGGCTTGGTCCCCCACACTCCAGAAGTGCCCAGTATGGCGGGTGGTTGGCACCCAGGGCTGGGCAGGGCCAGCCTGAGGCAGAGTCCGAAAGGTATCCCTACAGGGGCCATGTGGGGTCATTCTCAGGGAACCTCAGCCTCTCCCCAAATGGCTCCCACTGCCAGGCTTGGTCCCCCACACTCCAGAAGTGCCCAGTATGGCGGGTGGTTGGCACCCAGTTCTGGGCACGGCCAGCCTGAGGCAGCTACTGTCGGCTCTGGGGCTTCGTGGGAGCAGAGGGAGCAGGCCTGAGGGGTAGGATGGGTTGAGTCGGGGGGGATTTGGAGGAGGGGGGGGGG